ACATACAACAACAACAGTAACAATAAATAAATATTATTCATAACATTATACAAAAGAATAAATTAAGATGTCCATGGATTCTTCTTAAGTGTGCTGGTCAACACTGCCGACCAGCAGCAAGTGGAGACGAGCCCAGTATTAATTCCTAGTGCTAGTGGCTCTTGCTCAGCATCAAGAAGAGCAAGCAGTTTGATCATGTGCAGAATCACAAATTCGCAGTGACGGAAACACCGGAATATGCGACCTACATTCCGTTTTCTTGTTGGAAGCGTCGGTCGTCAAGCAAAGTTCCCGTTTTCTGTAAGAAAGGTCTTTCCAAGAGCATCCGTTTTCTATTTATCTTAAATCCTGGGGTGACTTAGAGAAGCTTGGGGGCGACGCACCTGAACTTCTTGCACTTGCCAGTCTCGTAGCCGGATTCGGCGGCCTTCTTGAAGATGGCGAGGTTGCCCTTCATGCCCTCAGGGACCAGGGGCTCCAGCAGGCTGCAAAGGATAAGGAGACAGGAACGGGGTAAGGAGACGTCGATCAGTCATGCGTCAGTCAGGATTGGAAAAAAAGTTAGTCACAGGTCATTGTCAGTCGACAACGTAAAGGGAAGAATATTGTTTGGATTAGTACTGATGTTTCTGTGTTTCCTTCAGAGTCACCTGAAGAGAAACTCTGTGCAAGAGAGGAAAAATATCGAGGCAAGTCAGACGAAAGTCGAAGTCAAAACCATTAAGAAGTAATTGTCAGTTCCGCGGTCACACTCCGAGAAAACCGCACGAGCGTGATGGAAAAAAAGAAACGCCGGAGAGAAACAATGAATTCGTCTGATTTTCAAGTTCATGAAGAGTAAAAGTTGAAAGAAAAAGCCCAGCCTTTTTTGTTGGGTCTTTCTTGCAAAACTTTCCAGCCGTCGAAAACTGGTTATTCTGGTTGAAATTACGTGGCATTTTTTTCCTCCCTTATTTACCTCTTCAAGTTGAGTCACAAGTTACATCACCGAATTTTCCAAGTCAGTTCCAAGACAAGCAGCAATGCGTACTGTTGTTTTCTAGAGTCTTGATCGGTTATTCACCCTTATTTCCTTATTATTTGCATAGAGCAGAAAGAAGAAAATAATACTCCCATTTTGTGAATACAAGCTGCATGACATTTCTCGTGAAAGAAGACCATTTTCGATCTTATTTCCGCCAAGAAATCCTTTTCCCATGACAAATGCTGACTCATGGGAGCTCTCTTACCGAATTTCTTTCTTGAACGTTTGTATGCAAGGAGCTGTACGAAGGCACGAACGCCTGGCCGGTCATTAGAACAGAGTTCACTCAAGCGGCACACTGTAAACAGCGTAAGTGTGCCCCGCCCCTCCCACCCCCGTGCGCGCGCAGGTGCCCGCCGCAAATGTATGTCGCCCCCCCCCCCTCGGCGAAGGGAACTGTGTCGCCGAGACATGCGCTGCCAGGCAAATTACGGCCGAGGGGGGGGGGCGATAACATCTTGACGAGTGCTATTGGGGGCGCTGTGATGACGGGCGCGCTCTCTCCCGACCACATGGGCGTAAGACCTTTTCCGGGAGGAATTTGTCAAAGTCTGTCACGGGAGAAAGTCGGAAAGCGTCGCTCGCCCGGACCGCGCCGACGGTCATCCGAAGGGAACGAGCCTAACCTAATAACTCTATCGGGTAATTAGGGTTGTGGCCTAAATAGTCAGGAAGGGAAGAATTCTGTGCGGTTAGGACGAAATTTAACCCTATTCTGTTTGATCCGGAGGAATCGAATGCGTGGCAACTTGGGACCATGTAGCGAGGCGCGCGGACCCCACCGGAGGCCTAGCCTAGATTCCCCACAATAGCGCCCGCCTCAAGAAAGCCCCGGGCCCTCCAAGAGGATTCCAGGCTCTGCAATCAAGCTGTTCCGCGGCAATTTGCGTCGACCATTACGGGGTGATTGGGCCTAACGCTCGAATCAGTCAAGTTGTTTTCTTGGCCGCGCTCTTGTGTGAATGCCGAATGGACTATGCGGTCAGCTGATTGAAGATGAACTACAAAGCATTTTTTTTTTCTCGAATAGGGCAAGTCTACAATGATGAGCGCATATGCTATGAACATTATCGAGGAAGGTAATGATTATAATTGATATAAATTATTCGAGAAAGATTAACATTAATAAACAAAATCGATGAGCTGTTAAACTCCGAATCAGCTGATCAATGAGATAGAGATAGAGAGAGAAAAAACAAGCGTCGATGGAAAAGGGCTCAAGAAATGGTGTTAAGAGGACGCGTGACATGACAGTTTTCCCCAGCTGATGCGGTGTCACTAAGAGCCACCTGTAACTGTAATGCTCATAACCGTGACAGTGATTTACCGCCTGTACTTTAAAAGCAGATGGGAACCTCCGTCATGCCATAAGTCACCCACACGAGAGAGAACGACAAAGCAACGAAAAAAAAAAAAAAATCTCTCTCTTTCTCCCTCTCTCTCTCTCGATCTCTAGAGAAAAGAGAGAAAAATTAAGAGGTCGTGTTTTCAAAGCTCATCTGGAAAACGACACCATCCATCACCGTCTGGCAATAATGGGAATTTTCACGCAAGGCTCCCCTCCCCTTCCCCCCCAACCCTTCAGATGTCGGAAGATTTTTTTCTCTCTCTATCTTCTCTCTCTCTCTCTTTCTTCTTTTTTTTTTTTTTTTTTTTTTTTTTTTTGTCATCCTCTATTATTTGCCAAAGAGGCCGGCAAATGGCGGATCATCTCGGCAAACTTCTGTTGCGAAATTCCTGTGTACCGTTGCCTCGTTCAGACGCAGATGTTACGTTTTCTGTTCCTTTTTCTCTATTCATTAATCTTTTTTTTTTCTCAAGAAGCAACGGTAATCAAGCAAAATATGAATCAAAACAATTCTTATAGCTAATCTTATAATCCCAGAGAGAGAGAGAGAAAAAAAAGAGACAAAAACATTACTTCGCATTGCAAATGACATGTTTACCCTGAGAAGTTGTGTCTATCATTTCCGAACAGACGCGGTGAAAATAACTGTAAGAGGGACTCGAAACCCGCGGATGCAACGGGGAAATTAACCGCGAGGATATCCGGCAAAGGAATGTAACTGTTTGGGGAATTAAATCACCAGATGATTTTGAGTGTATTGCATAGAAAGATGGAGGGATAATAGGGAGGATGGGAGGCAGGAGGGAAGAGAGATAGGATGGAAGGAAGGTAGGATGGAAGGATGGAAGGAAGGAAAGAAGAAGGGGAGGTAGGTATGTAGATAGAGAGATAGCTAGGTAGTAGTAGATATAGATGGATAGGTAGATGAGAGAAGAGAATAGAGGAGAACAGAAAAGAGGTAGGAAGGAAAAATGTAGACATAGATAAGTGGAAAGAGAGAAGATAGAAGAGAGAGAGAGAGAGAGAGAGAGAGAGAGAGAGAGAGAGAGAGAGAGAGAGAGAGAGAGAGAGAGAGAGAGAGAGAGAGATACAAGCAACATCGTGCTTTCTTCCCCCTCTCTTCTTTTTCCCCTTCTTTCTCTCCTCCTCATTCCCAAAAGACAGAGAATCATGAGATTGCTCTAACTGTCAGTGGTTAACCTCTCCCGATGCTTGAGTAGAAGTTCTCATGTCCCGGAGATGAAGTTTTCGTCTTAGACAATCAACAAAATTTCTGCTAATCTGACGTTAGTTGTTTTTTATCGTTCAAATTCAGAATGGAAATCTAAATTAATAGTATTAATAATCTACAAGCAAATTCTATCAAAGAAAAAAATAATCATTCATCATTCGAGAATATTTACAGCCAATAAGATGATTGTATCAAACGATGTTTTTTTCTTCCCTGCTCGGCTCTGATTGCATAACGGGTCGTGGCGAGGCAGCTGGGCGGTTAGACCAACAAACATTATATTTTCCTCACCGTAACATTTTGGGCGGTTTAATGATGACTGTTAGTTCTATTATCTTTTTTTTCTCTCTCTAATATAGCAACTTTGATGGGGAAATATGACTTGGCTTTGAGAAATTGGATTAAAATTGTGAATACGGCGTAAGGGGGAATTAAGTTTGTGATTTCGTGGCTGAAGGCAATACTCGAGTCGTTAACATTTTGATAATCAGGTGCAATACTATAATCAACAAGATTATATCCTTGAAAAATAGAATAGAATATAATGACGCTTTAACGACATCGCAGAAATCTACAAAACGAAAAGAGGAAGAAAAGAAAAACGAAGACAAATGATGATGAAAAATAAGAAAAAAAAAACGGAATGGCACTTCGCACAAGCCGGGGCAAGTTACCACGGGGTTTCCGGTCTTTGTGGGTTTAACTGTGAAATAAGTCACTGACCCAAAAAGTGCAGTGTAGTCAAGGCTGAAAGGGTAGACTAAAGTGCAGGTCAAGTGCACTGGGTCGCCCTGCCTGTTTCAGCTATTGTTTTAGTGCATTGTGGAGCTGCAAAGTGATTTCTTTGTTGTGTCTGTCGGTTATCACAAGTCACTAAAAGGTTGTTTTATCAGTCTGTGTGGGTCATTTTGTCGGTCTTGTGTCAGTCGGTTAGTCTGCTTGTGTCAGATTGTCGTGATTAGTGTGTTTGTGTCAGATTGTCTTGAGTGTGAGTTACTGTCAGATATCAAGTCTTTGTATGATGATAATGTCAGGATAGTCAATATAGATCTTTATATGGCTGTAAGTTTGTATGGGCGACTGGTTTAATGTAAAAGATTAAATTGTTTATTGTTTCCTTGTAAATTAGTGTGTTGTAAATCAGGTTTCTGTGCCAAGTCAGCCAGTTAATGTGAGTAAGTGATATGTAGCTAATAGGTTTTGTAAGGACTTGTATGAGTGTGATGACGTGTCTTTGTAGCTTACGGTGTGATGTCAGTCTGCTAAAATAAAAAAAAAAAAAAATGTGCCGTTAGGTTATTTTTCGTGTTGTTTGCTGTCTGTTTCTGTTGTAAAAGTCAGTCAGTAAGACAAGAGTAAATAATGACGGTTTCTATAGTGCGCACGTATCTTCGCTGTGTCAGTTAATCCTCACAAAGCCAACTTAAATAATTCCCCGGTACTTTAAAGTCAGACGCCATTTACCATTTCAAGTCATGATATCTATCGTTAAGAATCTGAAGGCCATAACGTCTGTCATCCGTCTTAGGAACTAAAATCCTTAAGTAAATGTCTACAGAGGAAGTGAAATGCCATGAAATGTTAACATGACTTTTGTCTTCAAAAACCGTATGCTATTCAGTGTCTAGGCTTTTTTTCCTCACAGATCATTACACGCTATTATAGATGAACAATGAACAAGTCCTGTCAAAAGGTCAGCTAAGCAAGGGTCACGGGTCAAAGTGTCGTGTCAAGCATTGTGCACAGTGAGTCAAGCTAAATGTCTGAGTGACCTAGTATTCGGGATCGTTCGACGGGGGGGGGGGGGGGGGATGAGAGGACGGCAGAGGTCGGTTTGTCACTTGATTTTGATAATTTTGTCCTTCGTGCTGCGGTCATCCAAGATCTGAATCAAACAGAATGTCGGGGTCTATTTTGATTTGATTGATGGGGTCGTTACTATCGCTGTCAATAATTTATGTCAAGAGGTCTGTTCCAGTGGAGGGGTCGTTGAAGTCTTTGATGATTATCATAGCATTTATAAAAACTAATGTCTCTTATTTAACTCAAAACCCTTAGTACTATATCCCAATAAGGCAGTTACTACGTTTTTTTAAGTCGCGCTTTAAGTTTAAGTCAAGGCTTGAGATGTCAGTGAAGTTGGGGGTCGCGAGTCAGTCAGATACGCCACAAGGTCCAATAGTCACGGGTCTAGCGAACGTTCTCCTCTCTGAAGTCTGATGAAACTTTTACCCAATGTGTACTTTATTCCTTAAAGCATAAATCTATTTCATCAGTTATTATCGCTTTAAAATAAGATTAAGCGTATTTTCCCAGTGAGGAATAAAGCTACACGTGGAGAGCAACGAGGGCAGAAAGTCATCATTTAAGCAAGTACAGCGTTAGTATGCTTATAACCAGGCTTCCGTGAACGGGATTCACGGCTTGAACAAAGCGCAGGGAAGTCACGTTATGGCACATGAAACTTTATAGAGCATTAGAAGTAATAAGGGCAAGGGCGTGTCCAGTCAGTGACAGAATTTAAGAGGGAAGCTGCTGTCATGTCATATGACGGTTGTCAGTTAAGGCTGCGGGCCGTGACTCCGAGTCATGCACCGGGGGTCGGGGAGTCATGAATGCGGTCATGATGAGCTGTGGCGTGACGGATGAGATCAGTGTCTTTGGATTACTTGATGGGATGATGGCTGGTCTAATGCAAGTTAAAATGATCGGGCTTCTGGCAAATGGCTGAAGGTCTTGAACTAAAGTGAATACGACCTGATTAATATAAATTTGATAATTAATCATGAAATAATGAGCGTGAATGTATGAATGTATGGAGTTTGTCGGTGGAAGTGGTTGTTAGTGCGGTCAGTCACGTAAAGTCCGTCATGTAACATACCCGAGGACGAAGTCCTTGCCCTTGAGGTCCTTGGAGTAGGCGCCCATCTCGCAGATGGTCCTCTGGAGGCACTGCTCGCTCTCGAAGGCGTTGAGGTAGATGTAGAAGACGCGCTCAATCTCGTCGTGGAGCTGGTCCATGAGGGCGGGCTCCTGGGTCTCGGTGCTGAGGGCCCTTCCGGTGGTGAGGGTGAAGGTGAGGGAGGACAGCAGCAGGAGCAGGCCGCCGAGGATCAGCAGGGGCAGGATGATGGCGGTGAAGATGTCGAAGTCGCCGGAGGCAGCGCCGGTCTCGCCGTACTCCTGCACGGGGTAGTAGTAGTAGTAGAGGTTGCCCTGCGAGCCGCCGTCGTAGGAGGGGGCGGGGGCGGCGGGGGCGGCGTAGGAGGAGGACGTGTCGCGGGCCTGGGCCACGGCGCCCTCGCGCTTCTCCACTGAGGCGGCGCAGGCCACGCCCACCAGAGCCACGAGCAGGATCTTGGTCATCATCTGCGGGAGGGAAAGAGGCCTTTAGGGTCTGGGAATGCCTAAGCCCGGCGCTGCAAGCCGGACTCGCCAATAAATCATTTCACCTCTTACTCACATTACTCGTTCCTGTCTGATGAAAGTACAAGGCAACTATAATTACCCATGAATATATCTTATCGCGGAATTCGGATATTCAAATTAGGTACCTCACTAATGACACGCGAATATTAGGCCTACCTTGAAAATTTCAAACATGTGAATCAACAACTGTTTACGGTCACCAAGCACCATGAATAAAATTAATTTGAGAATGTATGTCAATCATCCCGTTATTTCTGTATCAAAAACCTCAAACCATTCATCCATAAACAAATCACAATAAAAATATAATTATGGACCTGTCTAACCCTCAAGTTAGGTAAAAACCAAACAATGGTAGTTATGCACAACCGGTCTTCTAAAACACGTCACTCAAAACCAGTTTCCATACATTGAAAAAAAGGTTTCCCCCGAGGCGATTCGGACCGAAAACGAGCAGGCTCCTCTCCCTTCGACGTCTATAGTGGAACTGATTCTACCCACCCACGACCCGGCTTTTATACAGTTTATCCCGCCGGGTGAAAATTCAGGCCCTTTGATGACTATGGAAGGAAAACTTTTACAAACTCGTATAATACCTTGTAAGAATAAGGAGAATGTGTATAACTATACAGGCGAGTGTATTAATCAAGCGATATGCATTGATAAGTTTAAAGAGGAAGCGGAACGAGAGAGGAAGTAAACACAGATGTAATGTAAAGGGAATTGACATAACAATAACGTGCAATAACAATAGGGGAAGCATATGAGGCGCGGCCCACCTCATGGCATGTGACTTCATGTGGTCGGCGAAACCTACACGGTAGAGCTCATGGCGCGTGCATGGCATAACGGTCTGGTATTATATAGGTTTGTGGCTACTACCAGCCCCCCTCACCCGTCCCTCCCTCCTCGCTCCCCCCTCCAGCTTTCCCGCATGGGGCCCCGTACCCTACCCCCCCTGAAATCACATGATCCTAGTGGGGGTTGCTCAATATGAAGACCTCGAGGTTTCATCCTTCGTTACCGGCTGAATACGTAATGAATTCGTAATGCAAATTCTAGTAAGAGTTTTCTACGCTACGTTATTCAGCTCGGGTATTGATCTGACTATATATATCTGGTGGAGAAACGATAGGGCACCCGCCGTCCTAATACCAAGTGCTTTGCCTCTGACGTCTAGCTCGCTTTCACCTAATGCATAAATTCTTATTGACACAATAAAACTAGATATGATAATAAGGAAATCAAACGTAATCATTATCTATCTATACAAGGAAAACGCAACGGTATGCAACTTATGCAACACAACGCTCAAGAAAAGCAAAAAAAAAAAAGAATGAAAAAAGGGAAAAAAGCGTTTTATGACCAAACAACTTGGGAGATTATAATCCTCAAGGAAGTGAGTCCGACAGAGTGCAATGGTCATAACATAACGGCCCGGGTTGCTGTGTTCGCCCTTGGAGGAAAATTTTGACGCTCGGGCCATAAATCGTGGAGTCCCGGCGCCGGCAGATGGCAAGCGGAGGCGAAGCGGGTGCGGATTTTGAGCGTGTGATGTGCGTGCGTGATGTGAGCGTGTTGTGGATTGTGATGTGCGTGGGTGTTGTGCATTGTGGTGTGCGTGGGTGTTGTGCATTGTGATGTGCGTGGGTGTTGTGAATGTGCGTGGTATGTGTTTTGTGTGTATTGTTTGCTGCTTGTGTGTTGCGCGTGTGTGATATATGTGTGTGCGGTATGCTGCTTGTGTGGTGTGATTGACTGGTTTGATTGTGTGGTGCGTGTGCCATGTGCGTGTATGGTGTGCCAACATGCTTTCCACGGCCCCCACCCCCACCCCCGGCGGCGTCTAGCTTCTCAAAGTATGAAATGAGCTGATGTCTGTGCGTGGGATGGTTAGAGAGCTGATGCTAACGTTAATGTTATTTTGTGAAGTGCACAATATATGATCTCATAATGTCTAAATGATATTTAATTCCCTTCTTTTATGAAAGAAAATAATCAGTACATATATGACTAGTATTTAATCCCATAATGTACGATCTATATCAAAATGAGTGACTTTGCTCGTACAGTATTCATTGAGATCAAACTTTATCAATCTTTTATGTTATCATTCTAAGCCAGTTTGCTGGGATATTTATATTTCAAACGATATCCTTGAAGCTTCCCTTGAGAATATACTTCATAACATGAATGCACAATAAACGGAAAAAGTTGGCTCTTTCGCTAACAATCCCACTTCACAGCGTCTGCACATAACAAGCTCCAGTCACGTCTTGATATAGTTTTCTTTCACAGGGAGACACACTACAACCAGTCGACGAGAGTAATCCGTGGCACCGAATATAGTAAGTCCATCGATTTGGCTCTGGCACTTTTGGCCATATTTGGATCACTCGTTGGCGCCGCGTTGAAATTTCCTTCGTCAAAGCGCACCTTATACAAACACCACACGCTGCTGTCGTCAAGCTACACTCCTCACCTTGTTGGGGATTTGTTCTGTTAGCTACTGTTAGTCAGTGGCGTGATTGGACTTGAATGTACTTTTTTCAATGGCATCACTCACTATATACTCGGTCGTCAGTGGGGGTGGAGCCTATGGCGTGACGTCACCATCTCTGTTATGATTTCTCACGAGTTGTCAAGTCGCGGTTATTGTTGGTTTGTATGAATGGGGATAAAAACTAGATGCCATTTGGTAACAGAGTCATACTGCCAATGAAACAATATACCAATTATTTCTCATCATTTACTATAAAATCAATCACGTCTAATATGAAAAATTATTCCATGGTTATTCGTTCATGGCAACTGCTCGCCGTAACACCGAACAGAAGGGAATGTAAGCATTACCTGTGTCTCTTATTTTTTTTTTTTTTTTTTTTCTTTTTTCCTTAGCCAACTGCCAGCGATCCACTTCTTCCAACCACTCTCGTCTAACATTACTGGTGAACCATAAAATTTAACTCCATATACCTAAAAGAATCGATGAATGGTTTTCCGCCAGCGAGTAAGTCATCAAATGATCATTATCTTTATATCATTTCTATGCATCATCTTTATTTACCATTATGTATCATCTTACCGCATCTTTTGGGAATGATAAGATGTATTGAGCACCTTGCCATATCGGACAGAGAGAGAAAAATATATTAAGAAGTGTTATTATCAAGGGGGCTGTCACTCGTTCGGCCTTATGGACTCGTGTCAGAAGGAGTGTTTCCCATCGTTAGGTTCCAGAAATTAGACTTAGTCTCTTTCTCAATATATATTTCTTGTACCATCTCTCTTTCTCTTTCTTTGCTCTCTCTTTCTTTCTCTAAATTTTCTCTCTCTCTCTCTCTCTCTCTCTCTCTCTCTCTCTCTCTCTCTCTCTCTCTCTCTCTCTCTCTCTCTCTCTCTCTCTGTCTCTCTGTCTCTCTCTCTCTTTCTCTCTTTTTGTCTATCTGTCTCTTCAGGTCTCTCTGCTTTTTCTCTCCTTCTGTCTTTCCATTTCCATATCTGCCCTACTCTCAACATACATGTTTATCTTTTTAACCATATCCACCTTTCTAATAAATTTCCCATGATTATCTATCTGTCTATCTATCTTCTTTGCTCCTCTGTCCGTCTGCCAGCGCTCTCTCTCTCTCAGACTTTCCATAAGAAAATACTCATTCAGAAGAGAAAATATCATTATCAACCTTGCATGCAGTAAAAAAAAAAAAAAAAAAAAAAAAAAGTCTGTGTGTTTTCAAAACTATAATTCTTCTCCAAAGTAGGGAAAGAAAGCAATAACGTTGAATTTAATTTCCTTGTGTTATTTTCGTGCATCTTAAATAAATGACGAAAACGGAGACTGGAGTAACTGTATATTTTCTATTTTTTCTTGGTTATATTGGGAGTGTTGTTTTATTATTATCGTCTTTATTGTCTTTATCATTATTGTTGTTATTGTTATTACTATTTGCCATTATTATTATCGTTATCATTATCATCACTGTTACCATTATCATAATTTTCATTATCATTATTGACATAATTTTTCTTATTGTTATCAACATCATCATCATTTTCATCATTGTTACATTTTTATTCTTACTATTATAATTTCCATTATGATTGTTGATAATACTATCCTTACTGTTAACATGATAAAAATAGTTAGTATCATAATTAATTTCATTATTATGCTCATCATCATATACCTCATGATCAATTTTTTCCCATTGGTCCATCTTCATCACAATGAACAATCAGCGTCATCACAGTCATCATCATCAACATTATCAACAGCATTTATATTTCAAAGAGAGGTCGGATGAACAATGCACCGCTACGTATCTCAGATTTAGGAAAATCCTGCCTCTGCCCCAGATTTTCTCTTGATGACCGGATGCGGATCACCAATTAGATCAGATTCCATCTTTTTTCGTTCTCCGTCTCCCATTCTGCCTTCTCTGTCTGTTTGGCTGTTGTCTCTGTCTTTCTTTCTCTGTCTCTCACTCACTCTCACTCTGTCACTGTTTCTCTTTCTTTGTCTATGTCTCTGTCTTTCTCTGTTTCTGTCTGTCTGTCTGTCTCTCTGTCTCTCTGTCTGTCTGTCTGTCTGTTCTCTCTGTCTGTCTGTCTGTCTCTCTCTCTCTCTCTCTCTCTCTCTCTCTCTCTCTCTCTCTCTCTCTTTGGCTGCTTCTCTTTCATAGTCTTCTGCTTTGCTCTTACTCTCTCTCTCTCCTCTCTCTCTCTCTCCCTCTCTCTCGTTCTCTCCTCTCTCTCTCTCTCTCTCTCTCTCTCTCTCTCTCTCTCTCTCTCTCACCTCTCTCCTCTCTCTCTCTCTCTCTCTCTCTCTCTCTCTCTCTCTCTCTCTCTCTCTCTCTCTCTCTCTCTCTCTCTCTCTCTCTTTCTCTCTCTCTCTCTCTCACTTCCTTTCTCTTTCTTTTATCTTTCTTTTTCATTGTTAATTTGTCCGTATATCTGTTTCTCATATTGCTTCCGTTTCTTTGTCTGATTTCTTGTCTTTCTATGTATTATCTAAGCTGACTCATTTTACCTGCTCTTTATGTGTAGATATCTACCTAAATAAATGCATAATTCTTCATTATTTTCTATTTTCCTTTCCCATGTGTGCGTGCGTGTGTGCGGGTAGATTAGGCCTAGCGTTGACTGTAGACAGGACGTGTGTGAAACGTGACTGGAGGGGGAGAGAGGGGGGGAGGGGGAGGGGGTTAGCTCTCTGGGCATTTCTAAACAATCACTTTCTCCTGATAACTTTGAATGGCCTCTTTGTGTCTTCTAAGTGTAATTATTCTCCTTAATGACAATTTTGATAGAGAATGTGAACATTTGCATATCTTTTAGAGTGTGGTGTACGTTAGCTGTCATGATGTGTGGGTGCTATTTATTCATTCGCGTTGAGTCACATACGTTATAATGTTAATAGGCATTATCTCTTTCTCTTGTCAAACTTCCTCCTCCTCATCCACTCTCCT